GTGACACTATGGTACAAGGCAAATTCCATGTAGTGACCAAATTCCATGGGACAGACAGAACAACGGTTCAGCCATTTTCGACTTCGAGGAACCAATAGCTTATAAAAGAGAATAGGCTTTGCAAATATTTTTTGGGGGAAATGCTGAAATCCATTTTTTGCAGCACAATGCATTAATCCGCTGAGATACTGTGACTGATTTCCCACAAGCAGCTGCGCCGCCCTCATTCTTCCCTTCCCCCATTGTATTCATCAATTTCCCACTACTTGCTGTGTGGCCGCATTTTGACTTGCAGCATTCCCTGATTCCCCCCGCGTCTTCTCGATCTCAAAAAACAAGAATTGAGAAGACGTGGGGGAAATCGGGGGATGCTGCAGGTCAAAATGCGGCCGCTCAGCAAGTAGTGGGAAATTGACTAATACAATCGGAGGAAAGGGAAGAGCGAGGGCGGCGCAGCTGCTTGTGGGAAATTGGTCTGTATTTCCCTGAAAGAACTCAGTTTCCCCCCCCCCATGAGATCCATTAGGGTTGCCAAGTTGAACTGATGAAATAGCGGGGGGAGTCCTGTTCCTCCCCGGGAGTCTCCTCAGAAGTGACGTCATTGCGTCGGGCACGTTGGGGCCACAATCATTCGAGGGAAAACCATAGAATTTTCCCTTGAATGATAGAAGCGTCCCCCAGTAATGTGCCTGACGTGATGACGTCACCTCCTGGTGGCGTCTTCACGCCGCACACATCGCACACTTTGGGGGTGGCGATCCCCCAGTGGCCTGATCCGGGGGTCTCCTGGCCCCCCGGGGGGACCTGGCAACCCTTAGATCCATCCAGAAAAAGAGGGAGTCATCTTAAATTCATGTAGAAGTTACAGGTATATAGACTAATTCAAAACCTCCATCCATGTTTTCTGCCGATTCGTTTTTCTCTTTTGGCCCTGTAAGATAGGTGGGCCCTGACCGCGATGGCCCAGGCTGGAGTGATCTCATCAGATCTCGGAAGCTAAGCAGGGTTGGCCCTGGTCAGCATTTGGATGGGAGACTGAGGAAGTCCCGGGATGCTCTGAAGACACGGGTGATGGCAAACCGCCCCTGAATGTCTCCTGTCTTGAAAACCCTACACAGGATCACCATAAGTCACCTGTGACCTGATGGCCCTTTCTACCAAAATAGGTGGAGAGAAGAGTTCTAATATGCTCACATTAAAGAGACTGGCAAGAGAAGGACCGCTATCCTCTCTCTTGAAGAAAGTTGGAGTCCAGTGGCACCTCTAAGACCAACAAAGTTTAATTCTGGGTATAAACTTTCGTGTGCATACATACTTCATCATGCACATGAACGCTTATACCCAGAATTACACTTTGTTGGTCTTCAAGATGCCCCTGGACTCAAACTTCGTTCCGTTGCTTCAGACCAACACAGCGACCCACCTGTAACTATCCTCTTTATAGTCTTCTCCCATTGATGAGGAAATTGCTTGCCAAGCTGGAGCCAAAAGAGTAATACGTCAAGCAAGGCAGGTTTTTAGCAGCACATGTAGTGATGCAGAGATCGCACACAGCTATTTAAAAATGGCATCCTTTGTATGGAAGATGATGTTTTGACCCCCTGAACTACATAGCAACAAGTCCCCTCAGTGTCTCTCAATGCCATAAAAACCACCGGCAATTAGGGAGTCGTTAAAATGATGGCACCATCAACAGGCCAATGTTCAGTTGCAGACAAAACATGAATTGCTTACGTTTGTTCACTCATTACCCAAGTTCTTACCAACACCAGGATCGATGCAGTACCACCAGTAGCAGTCTCCCAGTTACAAAGGATATGGTGGACATGAGGGCTGCGTAACACATGATGTGGACTTCACGTTCTCTTCTGCTCTCCTTTCCTGTCTGTGGACTGATATATTTGTGTGCCCTTCCTTTTTCTTTCTTTGTATGGGCATCTGTTATACCAGTTATTTAACAACCTAGAAACAGTTGGAAGATGACTGGGGGATATACAGAGTTTGCAAACATTTGCTTGCTGGATACTGAGTGATTATTCTGTATTGCGACAGAAGAGGAGAAATAACTTTTAAAACCTACTATTCTTCCTTATTTTGATGCCTTCTTGATGTCCTTTTAACAATCAAAACTAAATAAAATGATAGGAAGACTGTTGGGTATTTGCATGTTGAAAACACTCAATGTGTATGCATGGGGTTAAATGTCTGTTCTGTTGTTACAGGAAATCACCTGTCTTTGTGTTAGCCAGTGTTAGCTCAAGTCTGTTAGCCCGCGAAAGCATCCCTGTTCTAAGAGTTTGATTGGGAGCGAAGTGTTAGTAACTTTGCATTTTATGAGCCCTCTTCCCGTCTTTGTTCGCCTTGGAGTAGAAGCACGTTGGAGGGCCATCTTTTTCCAGTTCTTCTAGTCTAGAGAGGATGTAGCTGAATTAGCTCTCTGTTATTTTCTCCCAAGTTACCCTTCCCTATGGTAGAATTGTAGTAAACTTTTATATTTTTAAACACACATGGACTCTGGGTCTGATTATTGAACTCTGGCATTGCTAAGCTGTTTTTTAACTCTGCTGAATTTCTTTAAAAACTCTAACAAAGACAATCGGGTCAGCCAGTTTGTCAATGGAATGTAGGTAAACTCTTTAAACCCCTAAAGCACCCTGGCCCTATCTTCTGACTTCTCTCAACCATAAACCATCCAAGATACATACATTCACCACCACACCCTTTTCGATACAGAAAATACATAAAAGGAATGCTGGCAAGTAACTGTTCTTTGACTAGGATATTTTTCTTCTGTTCATTCAAAAACAATATCAGGAAAAGTTGCAAATTAAACTCTGTCCTTACAAAAAAAGAAAGAAATAATAAGCGATCTATATACATGTGGAAGGGAGATTGCACTTAATTTTGTATACATCCATTGGATAACATTAGCTTTCTTTAATATAGATCTCTGTGGGGAGGCCCTGGGGGGAAGGGAGGACAGGAGTGAGGGAAGGGAATTTCTCTGTATTTACAATCCACTGGCTCAGTTCAATAGCACAGGAGGCTCCGCCTTCCCAACCTGAAGTAACAGCGCTGACTTCTCTCTCCCCAGTCCGTTTTAGTCCGGCTCCTTCTTGGTACCCATTTTTTTCTTCTTTCTCTTGGCGAGTGACAAATGCCCTCTTGCCCAGTCCGTAGGAAAAAGTCTTGGAAAATACTGCAGGGAGGGGGGATTGCCCAATCCTTTCGGAACTGAATCCGGACGGCTGCCGTTACAAGTCACGAAAAGCCTTGTCATTTTAAACTCCGTCACTGCTTCTCAGTTTAATGGGCTCCTTGTTAGGACGAGGCTGGGCACTCTATCCCGGCTTTGCTATGGCTATCTCCATCCTCAAGCCTCCACTGTCAGTTAATGGCAGGCCGTCTTGGAAAAATCATTTCCGGTTGCTCCGTGCAGAAGAAGGGAGATGCTGAGTATCACCAAGCTTGCAGTGGACACTGGGGGAAAAGTAGAGAGCAGTTGAGTCGTGGAAAGAGAGTCAGAAGCCATTTACAATGCAGTACTTTGGAAGAAAAGGTAGCCATGCCTGAAAAATGTAAAGGGCAGCATTTCCTGACACTTTATTTCTATTTATTTAAAACATTTTTATGCCGCCTTTCCACCTGACCAGGGTCCCCAAGGTGGCGCACCTGAAAACATTAGAACACTTGAGCAACTAAAAACAACATTTGAAATGATAAAGAAATGGAATAAAAACACATAAAGCAACAACACCAGAACCAGGGAGGAGAGCCAGTGATGGTTATTGGGAGTACCCTAAACGAAACAGAAAAGGCTTCACCCGCTGGCGGAAGACAACAATAGTGGGAGAAATGAGAGGGCTGGGAAGCAGGGTCTGGGGAGTTTGTTACACTTTTATATTCCATGGCAGTATCCATGGGGTTCCCAAGAGGTTTCCCATTCAGGTGCTAACCTGCTTGACCTACTTAATTTCAGCAGTTTTGCAAACAAATAACCAGAATACTCTGTCACGCTGTACAAATCACACTTGAGACCACTGTCTTCTTATACAGTTCTTATGAACCAAAAATGATACACATGACAAATGGTTTTGCCATCAGGCATAAATGACAACTGCACCAGTTGAATAGTGACCTAATAGTCCTTGAAAGTACAACTCTCTCTTCCTTTAAAGTACAAGTCTCTCTTCAGAATGATGTGGTCAGCGGCTCAAAAGAAAACATGTAGTAGATAGCATGAGCCCAAAACTAGCTGTAGCGTGAACCAAAGGAACGGCAATGGCATGCCTAGGTGGCTCTGCCGTTTCTTAGGGCTTCATCAGGCCGCTTTTCTTTAGTGATGGAGCTCAACCCAGCTCTGGCATGATGCAAAATGACACGAAGTCTACGGGTATGTTCCAAGTAGCGAGGAATCAGGCAGTATACATGGGGCTCCCAAGAGGTTTCCCATCCAGGTGCCAACCGGCTTGATCTTCTTAACTTTAGCAATTTGGCTGCATCACGGGTCTTCAGAGCATAACCTACATATTCCAGCTTTCCCTCCAAGGAGCTGCGGGCAATTAAGTTTATCCCATTTTAACCTCACAACAACCCTGTGAGGTAAGTCAGGCTGAGACATTTCCCACAGTGTCAAGTTTCCCCGCGCCTGCCCTTGCATTCCTCTGCTGCTTTCCCTCATTGCCGCAGATGTTTTAGCAGTCCCAGGCGCAAAAACGCGGTTTGTTCCCTGTTGCTCCGCAGCCTCAGACTTCCCTGTTTCCGGGAATTCCCCTGCTGCACCACAAGAGGGGGCAAACTGCGTTTTTGGTCCTGGGAGGGAGAAATCATCTGTGGAAACGAGGGAAAGCTGCGGATGAACAGAAGAGCAGGCAGGGGGAAACCGGACACTGTGGGAAACGAGTGAGAGCAAGCGACAGACCAAAGGTCCCTTAGTGAGCTTCACTTCTGAGCAGTGATTTGAATGTGCATTTCTGTAATGCAGTCAGTCCCATTTGCAGTCAAGTGAACTCCCAGCTGAATCCCACAGAATCCTGACAAAGTTTGGTTGGTCATGCAAAGCCCGAGCCCTAGTCACACTCGGTTCTCCTTACACGCGGTAGCAGGAGATTGAAATGGTACTGGGTGGCCCCCCATGATGCCTGTCTTTCCTCCAGGCCCAGGGTCTCCCAGGGAGCTTCCGTGGCAGAGCAAAGATCTGGACCCGGGTCTCCCAGATCCCAGTCTGGGGCTCCATCTGCACGTTACAAAGCCTTTGTGTTCACCGGGGGAAAACTTTGCATCAGAGGCACAATGGGAGTTTTCCGCCTCGTGGACGTCACGTGCACCAGCTATTTCCAGCTTGTGAGCCAAGCAGGCCGGGGAAAGCAGCTGTACACTCTCCCCTCGGTCCGTTTGGCATCTGCAAACCGTCAGGTGGAACTTACCTGTGGCCATGTAAGGAAATTGCTTTTAGCAAGGGAGCCAACAGCAGTTCCCCCCGTGTGGTTTGAAATGCAAAAACAGCGGAGGGGAGAGGCTAAAGGTGCTTTCCCTGCCTGCTTTGGTTGTAAGGGGAAAAGAGCTGGATTCAAGTCCAGACACATCCATGAGGCCGACAATTTTTTTTTTTTTGGGGGGATAAGCTTTTAAGAGTCAAAGCCCCCTTTGTCAGGTTCCACAAAGGGACCTGGGCGAAGGGAGCAGTGACTCTCGGGAAGCTCAGACGCCACGATCCTGTTGCTCCCTGAGGTGCTCCTGGGCGCCTGTGCCTGAGAGCTCTTCCACTGCAGACCAGCATGGCCCCGCCCCCTCAAGCAGAGGAGAGCCGCTGGGTGCCTGGGAAGGAGAACACCTCCTGTCACACGTCTGAGGTTCCTCCCCAACCAATCACGGGGACTTTGTAATGTGTAGATACGCCTTTTCCCGCCAGCCACTAACACAACTCTGGCTGGTTAAAGAAAGGTGCTGTGCTCTCTAGTTGCTCATAGGTGCACATGAGGCTGTGAAATTTCAGTGGTGGTGGGGAAACACCCCACACATGCTCAGAGGTACTATTGTTGTTCAGTGCTACTTTACATTTAAAGGCCCTACTGTTGATAATGCTACACTCCCAAGTTTTTAAATAATTTCTTCAAAGAGGTCCCTGTCATCTCTCCCTATAATTTATTGTTATTATTACTACTGTACTGTTATTTTCGTTTCTCTGGCTCGTAAAATCCCAATACATTAATAAAACTAAGGTATATGACAAAAAGACCAACTCCTGCTGATCGTCGCAGTGGGCTCTGGTTCAGTGTAGGGTGACATTTTCTCTGCCACCAAAGGAATCAGGGTTCCCTCAGCCTCTCCAGATCAGGCCAAGCAAGTAGCATCTTGCTAGGCTTTGATTCAGAGAACATTTCCTGCTTCTGGGAATGCCTGTTCCAACAAGCAAGCATCAAAGTCAACGGGAGGGGGGTAAGGAAGAGTAATCCATCAAGGGCAACGTTAGGGTTGAGCGCCTGGCAGATGGATCGATAGGGCCTCCCCAAAGGAAATGGTATTCCCTGGCCGTGTGGATGCGCCTGGCTGCTTGAGTGATGGAGGTTGGTCAGCTAGCCCTTCTCCCTGCTCTCCACAAAGGGTGGGAAAACCGGCAGTCTTGGAGGCAGGGTTAGAACCGCATCAAATTGCCTTGAGGGGAAAAAAAATAGTCTCAGCTTCCAACGTGGAGGGAGAGAGGTTTGGCAGAGGGTCATCAGCAATGGGGAGGAATGGCATGGCCCTATGACCCAGTCCTTCAGGAGGCTCAAAACCCTTATGACGGGCTCCAGACGTTTTTCTCCAGGCTGGACGAATCAGCAACGGCACATCAACTGTGTGACTGTCTCCGACTGAGTCAGGCCCTTGGTCCCTCAAGGGAAGTATTGCCTACTCGGACTGGCAGTGGCTCTCCAGGGTCTCCAGATGGAGGCCTTTCACATCAACTCCTCCCTGGTCCTTTTAAGCAAAGGTGCCAGGGGTTGGACCTGAGGCCTCCCTCACACCAACACTCACACAAATCACAGCCGCAAGAACCTACAGGCGACTCCACAGCTTTTCAGCTCACTCCAGGAAACACCATCACTGCATGAGAATCTGAGGTCCTTTTCCAAAAATTCCTCCCTGCCGTTCTTCTTCTTTTTTTTTGGCATGCCAATGTGTTTTTTTAAAATGCCAACGCTTATCTGTTGACAAGTTCAAGGTTTTCTCTCCTAATTATCTACTAATCGATAGAGGCCACATAGTTCCCACAGTCTGCAAAGCTGCGCTTAAAAAAAAAGAAAGAAAGAGGCCCTTTTGTCTGATCTGGAAAAGCTTTCCCGTCATGTAGAGCCTGAGCCACGTTTGCAGGGACTCCCCACTTTGCACCAGCGGCGTCCCAAGGCTCCCCTAAGTCAGGCGGTCCAAAGGCCAAGTTATCCTCACCTGACCTTTACATCCTCTGGATCCAGGCGAGCTTCTCTCTTGAGGCAAAAGCCCACCGATATGCCAGTGGCCTCATCTTCCTTAAAACCCCACCACTACCGTTTTGGACACAGATGCCTTATGCCAGGGCGGATCATTGGTCCATCTAGTCTGGCACTGTCTGTTCTAACTGCTGGTGGCTCTCAGTCAAAGAAAGGTCTTCCCCAGCCAGCCCCCGAGACCCTGGCACTTGGGGATATCAAGGACTGTGCCTGGGGTCGCCTGCATACAAAGGGCATAAGCAACCCCTGAGCTACGGCCTCTTTTCCACAAAGCCGAACCCCTCCCCGTCCTCATCCGCCCTGGCAGAAATGAATCCCGGGTACATGTCAGGCTTCCTCAGATTCATCTCCCTGTTACCCTGTGAATCTCTTTCTTTTCCTAGCCCCATTTCCTTCCTCCTCTTCATTCCCTTTGTTATCTCTTCCACTGTCAAGACTGTAAGCTCCTCGAGGCAGCGTCCTTTTTCTTTCATTTTTTGCTTATGTTACCCTGTAAAAGCACCATGTCCATGGACGGTGAAGAAGAAGAGGAGATTGGATTTATACTTTGCCTTTCACTGGGAGTCTCAGAGCAGCTTACAAACTCCTTTCCCTTCCCCTCCCCACAACAGACACCCTGTGAGGTAGGTGGGGCTGAGAGAGCTCTGACAGAAACTGCTCTTTTTCAAGAACAGCTCTGACAGAACTATGGCCTGTCCAAGGTCATTCAGCAGCTGCAAGTGGAGGAGTGGGGAATCAATCCCGGTTCTCCCAGATTAGAGTCCATGCACTTCACCACTACACCAAACTGGCTCTCAGATAATAATAATAATATAATAATATGTAGAAAGACATTGTTTCAGGAGTCGGGTCTCAGCCTTTCCAATACTAATCATACGGACATATGAAACTGCATTGCTCCATTGGATCATCGTCCCTTCTAATGCCCTGCTGACTGTTGATTAAGTAATTAATCAATTAATAATTGAAACATTTCTACCCCACCTTTCCTCTTGGCTAAAGGCAGCAGCTCTCCAGACTCACAGGGAAAAGTGTCTTTCTGAACACCTACTCCCTGGGGGCCAGTTCAGAGTTTGCAAAGTTCATGTGTCCACTATATGGACTTTGCACAGCCGTGTCCTGGGAATTCCCTGCTGGGGCCCAATTTGGACAGCCATGCAAAGGCCTTGGCCGATTCCCCCGACCTGAAATGGCTCTGGGAAGCTGCTGATTCCGTGCTGAGGAACCTTATGGGCACTGAGGCCATGCATACGTTTTTCCAGCAAGGCAAATAGGAGAACGTGCTTGACGTAGAGGCTTAAGGTGATGAAAGATGTAACATTTTCAAAAAAAGTAGGGCTGGTTTTTTAAATTTTATTTTATTCTGGGATTTATATCCCGCCCTACCCGTACAGCTCGGTTTCGGGAAAGGCCTCACTGCATTCTGTTCAAATGTATCTTTTCAGAGTTGAATTCTGATGAAGAGAGTGCAGGTTACCTGGGCTTGCAAACTCTGGGTTGGGAAATCCCTGGAGCTTTGGGGGAGGAGAGGGAACTCAGCCGGGTGCAGTGCCACAGAGCAGGGGTCCCTGACAGAGTGCCCATGGGCAGCAGGACACCAGCTGGCACCTTTCCTGGCGCCTGCCAAGTGTTTCTAGGAAGTGGGGGGGGGGCAGGTAGGGCTTTTGCCCAGCAAGGCTGCTGATTGACTCTTGGAGGTTTGATTGTCTGTGCAGATTTTTTTTAAATGGTGCTTTGGTGGCAGCTGCCCCCGTGGCCCAAGGATCTGCACTGGGTGGCTGAAGGGCAGCTGTGGCCATCCTTCTGCGGCCGGCTCCATCTCCTGCGGTGCCCGTCTTGTTGCTGCACCCACCGTGCCATGTCAGGATTCCAAATGTGCCTGCGGCAGGGTCAGAAGGTTTGTGGGCCCCAGTGTGCCACAGAGTCCTCCCTCCAGGGGAACTGATCTCTGTTGTCTGGAGATCAGTTGTAATGCTAGGAGACCTCCAGGCCCCACCTGGAGGCTGGCAACCTGTCATCTTGTTGCTGAAATGGGGGGGGGAGATGTGGTTGACATCACAGTTGAGCATCTCAACTAGAGTTTGTTTTTTTATTACACCTGTCTTCACCTGTGGGTTTCGATGCAACTTCTGTCTTTTAATTGTGAATTTTGCTGTATTTATTGGTTCTATTGTATTTTAACGGTGTAAGCTGCCTTGAGCCAGTGCTGCACCGGCAAGACGGGATGTAAATTGAAATTAATAAATAAATAATGATAAATAATAATGTTCCTTACTATGCCTGTCTTTATTTCCTGGTTCTAATATGAGTTCTTTTGATGTTACACCTGATGTCACACCTCTTTTGATGTTACACCCACCAGAAGTGACAGTGAGCACCCTTTCCATCTGTCTCCACCCTCGGGCCGAATCCCTGCTCAGCTACAATGATTATTGGGAGGCCTTGGGCAAATCACACCTCTCAGCCTCATCAATGCTGTTGTGAGGCTGAAATGCTACTCTTGGAGGGAAGGCAGGATATGAACAGGAGAAATAAATAAATGTGCACAGTGTAAACACTGCCCCTACCAGAAACCATTAGGATCTTATGTCTTGATCTGCTGCCCCCCCCCCCAGCCTCTCACAGGTTCCACTCCCTCCCACGTTTTGGGGGCTTAACTTCAGGAAATTTGGCAACCTTCGATGTTTCCCAAAGCTGTTGATCATTTTGGAGGGCAACTTCATAATGTGACATTAATCAGCAGGTCTCCAGCCTCTGCTTCCCAGGTGGAACTTTTGATTGACACTTACCTGTTTACTGGAAGACATATTGGTTAAGGAACTGATGCTGCTGGTATCCGTGACCACCATGGCTGAAGGGAACCGAGATGTGTGGGAATACTGGGGGGGTTCCTGCTTGTGTGCATACACTGTGGGGGGGGGGGGGAAACAACAACACACCCATCATTCTGAAGCGGGAGGAAAAAGACTGACCAGACATTTTAACGTACAAAACCGTAAACTGCCCCCTTGCAGGAAAAGATCTCTCAATACATTCCAAAACTAGACTGAGCACCCTGAGAATAGTGGTTTACAACTTTATTGATGATGTAGATTGTGCCAACTTTCTGAACCACCTTACCTGTAAAAGGATTAAACACAAAAAGGATGGTCGGATGCTGGAAAGTAGAAGTTTACAGGCTCAGTCCATGCTATTTACAGTTAGGAACACTGGAGGCAGCAGGAACTGGAGGGAAAGTTTGAGTCCAGTGGCACCTTTAAGACCAACAAAGTTAAATAAGCACACAAAAGCTTATACCCAAAACAAAACTTTGCTGATCTCAAAGGTGCCAGTGGACTCAAACCTTATTCTACTGCTTCAGACCAACATGGCTACCCAACAGAAACTGGGAAAAGCTCTTCTCTGCCATGACTCTCCAGAGCTCCAGCCAATCAGAGCTGACAATTTTGAGCTAGATGGACCAATGGTCTGACTCAGTATAAGGAAGCCTCATATGAACCTGCCGAGCTGAGTTGAGTAAGTTTTATTTGTTGAGGGGCAGTGAGTCACTGGTAGAAGGTCCCAGGTTATGTCCCTGGCATCTCCATACAGTGTGTTGGACTGGATGGGCCAATGGCCTGATCCAGCATTGGCTTCTCTTATGTTCTTATGTTCTCTCCTGTGCCATTTCTCTAAACCAAAATGGGCCCAGGAAGCTTCAGTTTGCTCTTGGGGTGGTTCTGTGTGTACGGGTAAGCTACGTTTCTCCAGGAGGGCAAAGAGTGGGTGCCCAGGCCGCTTCGGGTCAGGAAAATGGCACGGGGGTGGCTGGGCTCAGCCTGTTTTTCCTCTACTGCAGAGCTGTGCTGAAACCTGGGGAGTGTGGAATTCTAGAACATGTGTCCCCTGGGCAAATTTAGGCCTATTACACATGCACATCTTCCTACAGATTTTTCCGAGCAGTGAGCCTTTAAGTTTGACTTTGTATTCTGTGCCCGCTGCACCATTCTTTTTCCTCTGGTGTATTTATTATGGAGCTACAATTTTTTTAAAAGGCACTCTCCTAAATACGGGTCGGAACATCACTTGTGACATGTGGGAGGTGGCATCCAAAGTTTTTTAAAAAATTACACAATGGCCTGATCATAGCTGCGCAGTAGCGTCCAGCAAACACCTTCCATTTAAATCCTCATGGTTCAGGTTTTGCGCATGCATTTTAGTGTTAGTTCCTTGAATGAAAGGCAACAGAAAGGAAGGCATGCAAAGGGGGGAAACCCAGTGCTGAAACTGACAAGACTAACAAGCAGCTGCAAAGCCCCATTTTCCATACTGCCAAGCACTAGGGAATTCTCTGCTGTGTTATTAGCCACTGTGAATAATGGCAAAGAGTCACATGATCTCATAATATGGGGGAACATGTTGAGTGTACAGAGTGCCACTGCAAGCCTTGATCATTGGCAACATGTGTTTATGTGTGTGCACATGCCTGTGCAAAGTTGGCTGTAACTCCACCATGCTTTGCATAGGGCTGCAATTTGTATGTGGGAGGAGTCCTCTGGCAGAGGCTCTGTAGAGTTTTTTTTAGTCTTGTGCCACTAAATGGAAAAAATGGGGTATTTTTGCCAATGCCCTAGCACAGCTGCACAGTAACGCTAATTTACTGCCCTTCCTTGCAAATTCGCATGCTTTTCTCTTTGTGATTCTCTAATTTGATCCTGCACACTGCTTGTGATCTTGGGAGTTTTTTAAAGCCTCTCTTTTGCCAATTGTACTCTTTCCTGCAAATGGATAGATCCCAAGTGATCCTTACGTTCGGCAGTTTGGCAGAAGGTCCATGTGGTTCAGCCGCCATTTTAATGTTAGACTTCTGGAAACTGTCAAAATGCCGCCCCCCCCCCCCCCAAAAAAAAACAAAACAACTTTGTTCACTAAAGCATTAAAGGGAAAAATATTTTCCACATCCCAGCATCTCTCTTTACATCTCATGTCAATTTTATTCCATGCTGATGATCCCCCCTTTTATTTTGTTTGCATGCACACTGAAATCCCCTCCCCCCCTTTTTTTGCACTGGGGATGCTGCCGTTTGCCTCCTCTCCGATCCCCCTTTCAAGTCAATACCAGCAGGGAAGTAAACCTTGCACAGCTCCTTTTAAACTTTCCCCTTATCGTTTTAAATTTTATTCAGTGAGCCAAGACTAGTGATAGTCTCATATAACTAGACTCATGCCGCTTGTAAAAAAACCTTAAAATGTAAAACAATGAGGGGGAAAGAAATCAATGGGACTTGTGCACCAATGAAGGGGGGAGGATGGCAGAAGGTGCAGAGTGGGTGGAATGACCTCGATGTGGGTGGGGGAGTGACCTTCAAGAGGCAGCAAAAGGGCAGGGGGGAAATCTGAGGGAACCTGTACACTTTTGAAGCAGCTTCAGCTTGGAAGTGAAACAAGGGGGAAATCGGCACAGAAGCGCTCTCAGAAAACACGGGGAAACAGCGACCAGAAAGCAAACTGAGTGCTGAAGGGAGGGAAATCAATGCAGAATGACAAAGAAATCCAATGAACATGCATGGTGAAAGTGAGGGGAAACACCCGGGCATCATAGGCTACTGGCACAGGGAAAGAACTGAGAGCTGCTGCCAGTCTGTGTAGACAATTCTAGCCCCGCACAATGCTAGTCCTGCTGCACAGTGATTCACAAAAGCTCATATCCTGCCACAAATTTTGTTACGTCTAAGATGCTACTGGACTCTTGCTCTTTCCCCCTATTTTATCCTTACAACATCTTTGCAAGACACATTAGGCTGAGAGGCAGTGATTTCCCCAGGGAAAGCAAACAAGCTTTGTGGCTGAGCATGAACACAGGTCTCCTGCTAAAACCCAAAGATCAGGCATGGTACCACACTGGCTCACACACAGAGAACAATATTCGCATGCCATCATGTTTTATAACTTTTGTCTCTTGCCTGCGTCTTCTGTGGCAAAAATGAGATTGTAAATTCCTAAAGGCAGGGCCCTTTTTCTGATGTTAAAGAATCACATATAGTAGTAGTTCCCAACAACTACTTTTCAGTATTCAAGAGGCTATAAAGCTCCTTGTCCTTCCTTAGAAAAAGGAAGCCAAATAATTTACACCAAGCAGCAAAAATGAAAGAATGATTTGTATAAAACTACGTATACAAGTTAGAGAATTTAACTTTTCCAATCACATAATTTTTGGGGATACCTTAGTAGAGATTAACAAAGAAACAGAGAATATATGTGTCCCTAAACTTAGCCACAAAACACATATCCAAGTGGTTCATTAGCAGATTAAATACGTCAAAGCCAAATCAGACGGGCCCTGAAAGATCTGTGATGGATCTATGCATTTTCATGTTTTTTAAAAGGGGTAAAAGCAGTCCTGGCTGCAAAAGGAAGGTTTAAGTTCCCCCCCCCCACCATTCCATTTCCCTCAAGCAAATTCCCCCCTCCCCGCAGTGACTGTTTCCCTCATGGGTGAAAACAGACTCTGTTTTTACAGGGGGGGGTTTCCAGTGTCTGTAAAGGACACTGGACAACAAAACACTGATGTTATATATTCATGCCACAAGGCAGTGATGTTCAGATTGTATTCTGGGATATTCTGGAAATCCTCCAAAGGATTTCCAATGAACAGATCTGCAAAAAAACCCAACCCATATGAGAATGTGGCACTTGCCTGTGCCCTCCCCAGCGACCCCCCCCACACAGAAACACCAGCATACAGAGCGCCTCAGCCCCGCTTTCCCCCTCAGCAAATACCTGACAAGATCCTTACTGTGTGAGTTCTGCAGCTGGGCCACCGTGGCCATGAAGGGCTGCTGCGCCATGGGGCTGGGCGCCTGCTGCAGGAGGGGCTGCTGGTGTGGGCTGTGGAGCTGCTGGGAGAACTGGACGGGCTGGAGGGCTGCCAGGCTGCTGGCCACGCTGTTGATGACGGGGACGCTCTGCGCTTGGGAACTGTGGAGGCCTGAGGAGGAGACAAAGGCGGAAGGGCTCTGGGAGACCAGCAGACTTCATGCAAGGGGGTCAGACGAAAGCCCCAAAGGGCACCCCGAAGACTCTCCACAGAAATAATTGACCTAGGCTGCGATCACATGCGCCTTTAGATCTGACTTGGGTGCGAATGCCTGACAGATCTAAAGGGAGTGATCAGACAGCAACATCTGGGAAGCATCCCGCAGTCGTCGGCAAGCCGTGCTGCTTCAACTGGTGCGTGTGACCGCAACCCTACAGTGGGGTTTCGCAACCTTTTGGAGCTAGTGGGCACCTTTGAGATTCTGACACAAGGTGGAGGGAGGAGCAACCACAAAAGGGCCACCAAGGGAGTTGGAGGCTGGAGCCAACCACAAAATGGCCGCCGTCAGGGTAGGAGTCAAAGGGAGCCCATGTGGAGGGGACAAGAGGAGTAATTTTTAAAAGAACACTGGGAAAGAACAGCGACAGAAAGAATAAAACTAACACTGTGGGGTATGGTTGTCACATCCCCCCCGGCCACCGGCTGAGGATGGGGGGGGGGGGAGAGTTGCCAGCTCCAGGTAAACTCCTGGAGATTTGGGAATGGAGCCGGGGGGGGGGGGCAGGGACTTCACTGGGGTCTAACTCCATAGTCTCCACCCTCCACGTTTTCTCCAGGGGAACTGATCTCAGTAGTCTGGGGAGGAGGTGTAATTCCACGGGATCCCCAGGTCCTTACTGTGGAGGCAGCTGCCACCAAAACAACATTATTTTAATTTGCACAGCCAATCAGATCTCCGATGGCAAATCAGAAGCCCTGCTGGGCAGGAGCCCCACTTTCCCCCCACGGGCACCACGTGGGAGATCCCTGATCCACCCTCGGATAGATTCTGAGGTGAAAGTGCCAATTGACACATGACCACAGAGTACGCAGGTTGTGTCTGGGGTCCCCACCCTTTATGCCCGTCAGACCTTAGTTGCGGGTTCTCCTCAGTGTCCACAGCTGGGGTTGCCAACTCCCAGTTGGGAAATTCCTGGACATTTTAGGGGTGGAGCTGGGGGAAGGTGGTAGGGTTGCTAGGTCCCCTCGGCCACCACCGGAGGATGAAGAAGAAGAAACAAGAGATGGGATTTCTACCCTGCCCTTCACTTGGAGTCTCAGAGTGGCTTACAATCTCTTTTCCCCTCCCCACAACAGACACCCCGTGAGGCGGGTGGGGCTGAGAGAGCTCTTTCGAGGACTGCCCTTGGGAGAACAGCTCTGAGAGAACTTGTGACTGACCCAAGGTCACACCAGCAGCTGCATGTGGAGGAGTGGGGAATCTAACCCGGCTCTCCCAGGTTAGAGTCCGCGCTCCTCACCACGACACCAAACTGGGGTAGGACTCCGCCAGATCCAGGCTGGGAAACACCTGGAGATGTGGTGGCAGAGCCTGGGGAGGGCAGGGACCTCAGAGGGGTGCAATACCACAGTGTCCGCCCTCCAAAGCGTCCCTTTTCTCTGTGGTCGGGATATGAGCTGTAATTCCAGGGGATCCCCAGGCCTCACCTGGAGGCTGGCATCCCTAGAGGGAGGGGTTTGGGGAGGAGAGAGGCCTCAGCAGGGTTTAATGCCATAGCCGGCCTACCAAGCAGCCACTTCCTCCAGGAGAACGGATCTCTTTAGTGTGCAGATCAGCTGTAATTGTGGGAGATCCCCAGGTTCCAGGGGGACGTTGTCGGCCCCAGGAGTCCACATGCACCGTGCCTGATTCGTACTGGGACTGTGGTGCACTGGAGAAGAGGTTCCCACAGCACTTTCCTGATTGGAGATGAACACGGGGGTGCCCCCTGAGGAAACTCAGGGGTATCCCACAACAGATGGGGATTCCCCAGGGAGCCAAAAGAGCCCCCCTGGGACTGGTTCAATTCAGGGAAACATCCCAAAGAGAGACGAGAGTCCCTGAAGGAAATGTCTGCTTTGGAGGGTGGGCACTGCGGCATTATATGCTGCTGACGAAGACCCGCCCCTCCCCAAGCCCGTCCTCCCCACGCTCCATCCCCAAATCTCCAGGGATTTCCCCACACAGAGTTGTCAACCCCGGTTACCTTTGACTCGCAACTCGCCAGTCGCAGCATGAGATAAACCTTCCAGAAGCGTCGTTTCTTATTGTTATTTCCTTATTTTTTTAAATTTTTATTCATTGCTCTTCTGGCCCCTCTCCCAAGGCACACAGCCTCTGTACCTGACTAAAAGGTACCCCAGTAAAAACAAACTGCAGGGCCTCCTTTTCCACCTTTTAATTTTAAGCGCTTGAGGAAATATTAAGGCCTTTATTTGCCACCTGAACTGGAAAAAGGAGGACACGGGGTTGTGCGCACGGTTGTGTGCATCCGCATAATGTTTCTCAGCTCTGACTGTGGCCTGGTCTGAAGGAAACACTCCCTTGCCAGAAGGAACAAGCGCATGCCACAGCCAACAGTGGGCTGGAGGCCGGAGAGGGGTTGGCAGCAATGGGTGTGTGTGTGTGTGGGGGGGGGAATCTCCCGGCATCTTCGCCCCCACCCTGTAACAGAAAAGCAGCCTGAGGGCCAAGCCGGAGGGACCAATTTTAAGCAGAAAACCAGCCTGCGGGGAAAGGACGGAGCCCTTCCTTCTCACTTTTTTCAAGACTGCAGCCTCCTGCTGCTTTGTATCTTACCTAAGTGCCCAGAACATTCCAGAAGTGCCCAGAACATTCCCGGCCCTCCCCCTTTTGGCCATCAAGCCGACTTATGGTGACCCCGGGGCAAGAGATGTTGTTCAGAGGTGGTTTGCCATTGCCTCCCTCTGCACCACAACCCTTCATCCACCCTGGAAGAGGGTGGGTCATGTGGTTGCCAGCTCTGGGCTGGGAAGTGCCTGGAGATTTCTTTTGGGGGGTGGAACCTGGAGAGGGCAGGGTTTGAGGAAGGGGGACCTCAGCATGGTCCGTAGAATTCACCCTTCAAGTCAGCTGTTTTATCCAGGGGAAGTGATTGCTGTAGTCTAGCGATCAGTTGAGACCTCAGCATGGTCCGTAGAATTCACCCTCCAACCTCCCACCTGGAGGTTGGCAAACCCAGGTGGATGAAGGCACTAATTGTCCCAGGAGGCTTCCGTTGCTGACCTCCACCCTAAACCCCAGAGCCGGGACAACAAGAGAAAAGCACTTACTCGGTGTGATAGCCATGACTCCGGATAACGGCGTCATGATGAGGTTCTGGGATGGTTGCTGGTTGTGATGGGAAAAGCTGTGGATACTGGTGAGAGTACTGACCGGGGGCAGCCCGCCACCAGACACCGTGATCTGTCAAGGGAACAAGAAGGGATAATTCAGTACCGGAGCACAGGCAAGCGATAAAACAGCGTCCGGAAAGAAAAATGGAGTATCTTTTCGAGGCATGTCATTCAAAATTTCATTCGCCAATAGGGTTCCCAACCTCCAGATGGGGCCTGGAGATCTCCTAGAATTACAAGTGATCTTCCAGTGACAGAGATCCGTTCCCCTAGAGAATACGGCTGCTTTGGAAGACAGGGTCTATGGCACTATGCCTGGGTAAGGGCCTCCCCCTCCCCAAGCCCCACCACCCACAGGCTCTATCTCCAAAATCTCCAGGCCTTTCCCAACCTGGAGTTAGCAGCCCTTTTGCCACACAGTGGGTTTTGGTTCATGGTGGTGGTCATGGAGGTAGAAAGTGCCGTCAAGTCACAGACAACTTATGGCAACCCCATGGGGATTTCAAGGCACGAGACGATCAGAGGTGGTTTGCCACTGCCTGCCTCTGCATAGCAACCCTGGACTTCCTCGGACGTCTCTCATCCAAGTACTAAACAGGGCCAACCCTAGGGTCGCCAGGTCTTACCTGGCTTTTATTGGGGGGCTCGGTCCGTCCTGGGGTCTTCTTGTGTGCGTGCTTTGTGCACACGCCACAATTATGTCCCCGAGAAGTGAAGTAATCATGCCGGGTACGTAGCACGTTGATGCTCTAGCATTTTGGCCAAAAGCTCTATGGTAACCATAGAGTTTCGGCCTATATGATAGAGCATCAGCATGTGACGTGCCCAGTGTGATGACGTCACTTCCGGGTGACGTCATTGCAATGACAATGTCAACGCAGGAGGGGGCTGTTTGGGGGTGGGGCTTCCCCTGCCGGCCAGGTGGCCAGCAGCGGATTGGAGCCCCCAAAATCAGGGGAACCCTCGCCTCAACTGGGGGTCTGGCAACCATTGCCCCACTTAGCTCCCAAGATCTGACCAGATTGGCCTAGCCTGGACCATCCAGCTCGGGGCTTTGGTTCATAGTCGCTTGTATGTCTGCCCAGCAATCACCTGCTAGACTCTAGGTATATGATGAAATTGGCTCTCGCCCATGAAAGCTTGCCAGAAGAAAAAATCTTCAAGGTGCCACTCAATTCCTGTTTATTTTTGCGACAACAGATTTAACATAATTACCCCAGTGGAACTGTTTCCAGAGATATTTTGTCTGAACAGATCCCACTAATCAGAATCCTTTTAACTCCCTTCAAAACATCTACAGAACTTTCACCTGAGAAAGAAGAACCCTGCAAAGGGGCTTCACTGTCTCGTTTCAGGCAACATCGCCCTGCTACCCAGAGACCTAAGCGTAAAGGACTTGAGCAGAAGGAACCAGGAATGACTTCCGGGACAGAAGGCCAGGCTGCCTCAGAGAAAATATGCATCTCCAAGGCAGGGGAGACCATAAAAACCAGCCAGTGTAACGGGAACCAGTCAAGCTAAGCCAAAGAAAATAACCCCACAAGATGAATTTCTGGAATAGTCTCGCTCTTCTGTCACTGAGGGCTGGCAGGGCCCAGCGGAAGAAGGAGAAATGGGCCTAAGTGTCTCTGGGCGCAATCCTCCCGGGGCCTGGCCAGAAGAGGCGAAGAAACCAAACCGCTAGTTTGGTGGTTTTATGTGGATTTTAATTGTTATTTATGTACCAAGCTGTGTAAGCCGCCCTGAGCTTGCTTTTGTGGGGAGGGTATAATTAAATAATTAAAATTTATTTAATCAGGGATGTTCGGGTTGGATTACATATTTTTATACCATCCAAACAAATGCATTTTTAAGGGAATGGTTTTCACAGTGTCCACGACAGGGTTGCCAACCTCCAGGTGGGCCTGAAGATCTCCTGGGATTACCACTCATCTTCAGACCACAGAGATCAGCTCCCCTGGGGGGAAAATGGTTGTTTTGGAGGGTGGGCACTGTGGCATTGTAGGAGGGTTGCCGGGTCCCTCCTGGCAACTGGTGGGGGATGGGGGGACTTTACCAGTAGAAAGAAGTAAGCCTAGGCGATGTCTCCAGTATCACACAGGAAGTGATGTCATCATGCCAGTGACTTCCAGGTGACAATCTGGTATTTGGTCAAAAACTCTATGTTAAAACCAGCTTCTACCATAGAGTTTTTGTTGCTGGTGTGATGATGTCACTTCCTATGCAAATGGGCAATGTGGCCTAGGCCTTCTTCTTTCTGCTGGTAAGTCCCCCTACCGGCCAGCTGATTGGCAGCTGGGGGGGAGGGCCTGGTGGATAATTACAGCTAGTGTTCCCATATCTGGGTTGGGAAATCCCTAGAGATTTGGGGGTGGACCCTGGGAAAGGCAGGGCTTAGGTAGGAGAGGGACTGCAGTGGGGTGTAACGCTATACAGTCCACCCTCCAAAGCAGCCATATTCTCCAGGGAAACTGATCTATGTTCTCTGGAAATCAGTTATGTAATTCTGCCCCACATGAAGGTTTCATAGCGACTGAAGAAGAATTCTAATGGAAACAAGGAAACTATACTGGGACCTTGTATCGCTGTTATTCGCTGTTATACTGTACACAATATTTTGTAATCTCTGATTGTTGTAGTTCCTATTTTTATAGGATGCTTCAGCTATTGTATAGTTAGATTTTGCTTGAATACATCCTATTTGTTCATTTGGCAACTGTGTTTTTGTAAATTCTGTGAGTTCATTTGCACAGCTTTTTGTACTTGACTGTAGTGTTGTACTATTTTCAGTAGAGTTACTATTTGTGAATTTTCATTGGTGGAACATTTATACTCTTACTATATATGATTCTTTTTCCAGTAGTGGAGAGTTTTTTAGGGGCAGCCCACTTTTGGAGTTTAGTGTTTCTGGTTTCAGTAACCCACATGAAGTCTGGCAATCCTAGGCTGTTGTAGAACTAAGAACAAAAAGACCAGATAGCCCAAAAGAACTTGCCTCCCACCTCCCCACCCCACCCTGTACCATGCCGTGCCATTAACTGCCATTGATGGGAAACGAGACGTAACTCTGGAAAACATGCCTCTTAAACTTTTCAGCCTGAAAAAGTTTAAAAGTTCTTAAACGTATTGTCTGTGAACTGGGGTTGTTGCCAGCTCCAGGTTGGGAAATTCCTGGACATCTGGGGACAGAGCCTGGGGAGGCAGAGTTTGGGAAGGAGGAGATCAGCAGGGATAGAGACCAGTCTCTGAGGCCTCCATTTCCTCCAGGAGAACGGATCTCCGTGATCTGGAAATCAGTGGTAATCCTGGGGGATCTCCAGGTACCACCTGGTGGTTGGCACCCCTACTTTGAACACATCCTCCTAATGGCCGGTAGTAGTTTTTACGGGCCTTTGGTGTCTGTGGGTCCCTCCATTGCAAGGCCTGTCTGCCCCTTAATTCTGGGCAGTTCCCCTCCCCCGTTTTTGCCATAGTCTTTTCCTTTTTATTTCCCACTGTGGTTATGGTGAGGCCTGAAGATCTCCCAGAATTACAACAGTTCTGAGGTCTCTCCCTGCCCCAAATGCCACCTTCCCCAGACTTCACCCTCAAATGTCCAGAAAGTTTGGATTGGAGGGTGGACTATAGTTCCAAAGCAGCCATGTTCTCCAGATGAACTGATCTCCAGCCAACACCTGGAGGTTGGCAACCCTATTCTCCAGGCACCACAGCCAGCCAGCCACCCACCCACCCACTCTGTTGGACCAGAGGACCCTGCAGCACATTGTGAATCTGCCAACTCTGGGTTGGGAACTTCCTGGACATGTTTCCAAAGGCCCATAAAAACTACTACTGGCCATTAGGAGGATGTGTTCAAAGGAGAGGTGCCAACCAACCGGTAGTACCTAGAGATCTCTAGCGGACTCCATGGCATCATACTCCATTGAAGTCCCTCCCCTCCTGAAACCCCGCCCTCTCCAGGCTCCACCCCCAAAGCTTCAGGTATTTCCTAACCCAGAGCTGGCGGCCCACTTGGAGAAGGCGGACATTCTGTTTCACATGACATCCTCCGTTACTAACAGGCACTTCTTAAACTAGAAAAATTGGAGCGTATCCAGTCAAAGCTTGGGCCCAGTGTCTTGGGCTGCCAGCTCTGGGTAGGGAAATACCTGGAGGTTTTGGGGGTGGAGCCTGAGGAGGGCGGGGTTGGGGGCCTAATGCCACAAAGTCCAACTTCCAAAGCCGCTATTTTCTCCAGGCGAACTGATCTCTGTCAGCTGGAGATCAGTAGTAACAGCAGATCTCCAGCCACCACCTGGAGTCTAGGTCCAGTACTTGGAACACGCTAACCCTTAATTTATTTGTTTGTTTGTTTATACCCCACTTTTCTCCCCAATTGGGACCCAAAGTGGCTTGTGTTTTTCTCCTCCCCTCCATTTTTCCTCTTCCAAACAAGGTAGGTGGGGCTGAGGGAGTGTGACTGCCAGCAGGTCACCCAGCGAGCTTCCGTGGCAGAGTGGGGATCTGAACCTGGCTCTCTTCCAATAACCACTGCACCACACTGATGCCAACCCCACCTTTGGTTACACACTTAAGAAAAAATCTGCAGAGGTGAACAAGCTATCTTTCTTGGGACCCTTTTGTTTCCCGACACCGAGCTTCTCGGTGAGGACGTGCTGATGAGTTCCTGAGGCACCACCAGGACTCCCCAAGAACACAGCTAGGAAACTCTAATATAGATTAAATCTTCCCACCTTTGGCCTTATCTGACAATAAGGTTTTTTTAAGGGACTTTCTTTGAAGCATAATGCAACTCCTTCCACTCTTATCCCGGAGGAAGGCAGCATTCCTCAAGGCCCATTCGCCTCAGCCAGGCACGCATACGAAACATAAACAACCGTTTTACAAAAACCATGTAACGCACCAGCACATCTGAGAAAAGCAATTAGGGCTGGGAAATATGAATTAATAAGGGCGGGGGAGGGAACTGCTGAGTCACCTGACCGAGAAAGAATTCAACCCCACAACAACAAACAAAGCCTTCCAAATTGCCTTCCAGAATTATTGCCCGAGTGCAGAGTCATAAAAAAA